AGTTATTTTGAAGTAATTTCCTTGTGCAAACATGCCCAAAGAGTGTTACTGTAGTGCTAAGTATTGTATTTGTGCATATTCCTATACATGTTGTGTCTGTCTCCCCAGACTTTATCACTAGACATGTTACAAGATGGTGCAACTATTCATATCACACATATCTGCCCATTTTTCTTCCTGGTCTGCAAAGTTGAAATTTCACAGTGTATTTGACTAGCACTGACTGGAATTCTATTTTGCCAGCAGCCAAAGGTAGATTGCACTTTCTTGCAAGTAACAACATTTTTTTTCCCCCCAGTAAAGTACAAGTAAAAGTTTTCTTCAGTAGGAAAGTGCTGCTTTAAAGTACATCACAGTCATAACATTGTTTGTTGTTTTCTCTTGTCTTTCATGCTCTTTCTTGCCATTTTGGCTAAATATCAAAGAGATTTGTGTGAGCAAAATGTTCTTCCCCTGCCAGCACTTTCGCTCTCGCTTGTTCCTAAAGTGAACCATCATGGCAAATTTGTGGCATCATGCTCATTTCCATGGCCCACAGCAGATTCCAGATGAAGGAGTTCTGGGCAAGGCAGGAAAATGTTCTTGTTCAGACACAAAGGGCCAGAGTTTTAGTTGGTGTAAACTGGCATGGAGCCATTCACTTCCAGAGGAAGTTTGCAGATATACATTAACTCAGGATGTGGCACAGAGAGCCTAGAAGGGAGGAAAGGATGATCCTATGATTAAAGCACAGGGCTGCCTGTCAGAAGACTGCGGTTTTATTCTTGTTTCCTTTCTGTGCCTCAGGTTAACCCCTCTGTAAAATGAAGTATGGAAATCCCATTTTAAAGGAAGCCATTTAAAACATAATTTGATACAGCTTTAACTAACCAGTGGGATTTGCTAGTATCTGTCCTAGAAAGAGGAATGTAAAAGTGCCAAATGGAATATCTCTGCCCAACTTCTTGCATGAAGCAGGAAGTATTCTACACTATACTTGGATGGGAAATTTCTATGGAAAAGCCAAAATATTACCAGAAGAAGTTTAGGAGTTCATTAGCTGGCACTTTTGTACCCAGAATCCTTCCCTTTACCATACAAGTGCTCCAGCATGGAATAGGGATTGTTCCTCTTAAATTTGAATGAGACACAAAATCCAGGGTGAGAATTTGTGCTCCTCAAAAATCATGTGGCACTTCGCACTGGACTATGGATGTTAGCTCCAGGGCCCTGGTAAAATTCCATCTTAAGGAATTACATTCTCACCACGTAGAATCGATGCTCCCTGTAGTTTCAATTTCTTTACCTGTAAACTTTTGTGCTGTTGCTGTTTGTTTTTAAAGGAACACCAATTTGAAATCTAAGCATTTTCAGGTAAAAGTAGTTTCACATGCTATAACAAACGCAGATACATTCCACCCCAGAGGTGGTTGGTTGAAGTGACGCTTGTATATAGCACACAGTTTATGAAGTGCCTTCAAATCCCCTGGCATGAAAGTTGTTTGAACTGACAAAAAATAATGAAGATAGGAAATTATACAGAAAGCCTGATAAGGCTAACTCTGCTAGTGTATGCACTATACGTGAAATTTGGTAACATATATAAGGTTGTAAGTGTCTTAACAATGTTATAACTTTTATAATGCTCTTGTAAATCAAGTAATGTGAGAATTTGGAACTTTTTTGGCCATTATATAAAGTGCACAATAGTTATAAATGCTTTATAGCTGCCCATTGATCAAAAGTTGTAGCAAATGCATTTGTAATGTAACAGAACGTAACTTTATAGTTATCACAAACTTTTGCGATGGTCATTACATCACTTGGCCTAAAGTCATTATTTGAAATGGAAATAATATTACATAGTAATATGGGACTGTCATGGAATCCCAAAGCCAGAATTCACATTAGTCATCACTGTAGTTTTCTTACATGCAGAAGAAATTTTTTTCTTGTACTGTATGCCCATCTTACTCTTAAATATTCACTGTGTTCATCAGTGTCTGAAACCACAAGAATTAAAATGTAGACAAGGCTTTCTGTAGTGTAAAACAATATAATAATATGAATTAGCTGAAAAATGGAAGGTCAGTCTGAGTTTCTTCGTTTCACCCATGAACTGTTTCCATAGAGAGTCACCAGTTCCAAATAATTAATTAGTCCATTCTCTTATTGTCCAGCCATGCTGGTAGAGAGACAGGAGACTATGGGTGTGCTTTAATTAGGCTACAATGTTATTCACTTAATTTGTCTTGGAGCACCTTGCAACAAATTGTATAGTGCTGGAAGGGGACAGTTCTCCACTGTTCTAGATGTAGGAGCCCCAAAACCTGCTTCCTCAGCTCCCTTAAAGGGGATTATGAAAATCCCAGAGCCTGCTTACATTGCTCCCTTAAGGGACATTTTCCTTCAAATCCTTTTCCAGACCATTTTCCCCAAAAACCATATCCCTTGCATCATACCAAGTACCTACACTGGACTTGTGCCAGGAATGTTACTTGAACTGCAGCATTATAACCTAACCCCTCTCACATGCCATATGACCAGATCCCAGACCAGCATCAGGGAAGGCAAAAAACCTACCCCAGCTCAGTTGTGGGGAAAATTCCTTCTCAGCCCACTGTTCCCTTCCTCCTCCCCTCCCCCGAAAAAGGGCAACTAACATAATGTCCATCCTTCCTATGCATCCTGGTTAAGTTCTGGCCTTCCTCCCACTGGCTGTAAGATAGCCTTTAAATAGACAGTGCCCCTTTTCTTCCAGCTAGCTGGCAAAAGCCCACATAAAAGTTGCTGTGAGTACGTTTTGCCTCGTGCAGAAGAACTGAAGAACCAGATAGCAGTTTTGACCGCTAAGCCAACTCTGGCTGCTGCAGAAAAAAATACTTGCTTACAAAATCAAGCATAAAAATACAACAAAAGTGTCACAGTACACTATTACTGAACAATGGTTACTTTCCCATTTTACCATACAATTATCAATCAATTGGAATATAAAATATTGCATTTACATTAACGTGTACTGTATAGAGTAGTGTGAATAAGTCATTCTCTGAAATTTTAGATTGTACTAATTTTGCTAGTGCCTTTTATATAGCCTGTTGTAAAACTGGGCAGACATCTAGATGAATTGATGTAACCCCTTCAAGATCTCTGCATAACCCCAGGGGTATGCATACCCCTTGTTGTGAGCTATTGGTTTAGATGCCCGTTGCAGTTAATCACAGAGAGGCAATTCAAGTTAATTTATAAACACTAAAGATTGCCTCATTCAGAAGATAGTACAGTAGAGTCTTAATAGATGACACTGACAGGCACGTGTTGTGAATTACTGGCTTTTTTGAATTACCAAGTGATCACACATGGGAAAATGAGTATGCATCACAAATTCTATTTTATTAATTTATTCCTGCATTTCTAGGTTAGTTGTAATTACTCAGAAATACTTGGTAACATGCCAGGAGTGAGTACCTTGTAAAAATAATATTAAAAATATAGAAACTCACTACAGTGCACTAAGTTCCTATTTAATCTTTGCTGCAAATTATGGAAGGGCAGACATGTTTTGTGTGAATGTTAGCAAAGTTTTTACAGAAATTTGTAGATGAGGAAAAACTCAATATAGCAACCGTGTTGAGAACCTAACCTCCCATTGGAGTGGGAACTGAAAGTCTTCAGTTTCTCACAGGATGGGGACCTAATCTTTACTGAAAACATCCTCAAGAATGTGTTAGTAATAGCATCACTTTTATAACATATCCTTAAAGATCATCCTATTGACATCTGATTCTTGTAGCCATGTAGACATGACTTCATAATTAGGATGTTGTATACCATAATCTCCAAACCAAAGGTCTGTTTTTCACCAAACATTGTGCTTTTACAAAAAAATGCAGTAGTATTTTGTGTTTACTAACATCTTTATATTTATTTATCCTTATTTTTGCTCAATTTAAGGTGTAACCTTAATACTTAGCTTCACTGGAATTTGGCAAGAGAGTTCCTTTTTTTTTTTCTTTTTACAGCCATTTTTACCACTTCATCAGGGACTTACATTGCCAGTTAGATTGTTTCATACGTTACACATTTTATTCAGCATAATGCATTCTTTGGTCCTTAAACATGTCTAAGTGTTAAGACACATACGTAGATTGGCATACAAAGAAAACTGAGAAAAGAAGTTATGTGTGCAGTTATCAAACCAGCAAAACACTTAGCATATTGAAAGTTTCTGAATTTGCAATTGCCTTGAGTTCTGGACAGATGCGATGTAGAGCAAAAATATAAAATCATTGGAGTACTTCGAGTTTGGAAGTTTATCTGGGTTCTTTGCTTGTATCGCTCTTAATAGCTTTACTTTTTATGGGAGCCATTCCAATTTTTACAGAGAATTTCCTCCTTGAGACTGATTGCACTTACCACCCCGACCAAACTGCAACTCATTATTTCTTTTACCCGGAGAATCTTAGTTTGTCAAACAGATCACATAAATACTTTAGATCATGTAGACTCCAGCAATGTGAAAATCTGGGCTTTAACTGTATATACTATGCTATGCTGTTCTGAAATGGGGGCTCAATCCTGGTAACATGCACATGAGTAACTTCACTCAAACTCGTGGCTCTATTGAGGTCAATGCGATTACTTGAAGATGCTTGGGAACATGTTTGCAGGATCAGGACTTATGGTATATGTTATAAAAACCTTGTGCCGAGAGATCTGCCCCTCTTCAAGACAAAAATGGTTCAGATGAACTGAGCGCCTCTTCTTTTAGATGCATTACATCATTTTATTTGAATATGTTGAAAGGAATTACTTTCATTGAGTCCAGTTATCTACATGCCTATATATTCATCATTAAAGCAAAGCTTTCCAGTGTCTAAAATCAAACTCTTGCTCTCTAAAACGTTTGCACATTTCTGTGTTAAACATCTGCTTAGGTGGCTTTGAGACAGTGTGTTTTGGTGTTGTTTGTGTGTGATCTAGTGCTGCTTCCTCAATGCACATGTCCCTTCCCTTCACAGCCTACTCGACACCCAGCACCTCCCCCGCAAACCGATTCGTCAGTGTTGGACCTCGGGATCCAAGCTTTGTAAATATCCCTCAACAGACACAGGTGGGCAGCTTTCAACTTCTCTGTATGCAGTGCAGCTTGTTATTCTTCTGTGTATTTTAATGTCTCCTTACAAAGTGAGCCGCATTTCCTCGCCACTGTCACTTCACCCACATGGTCTCTGTAACAGTGAAATGTCATTCACAGTTTGTGTTTGTCTGTTGTGTTTTATTGGCTTCTATGGTAATAATAATTCTTCCATCATTCCATAATTCTTCCAAACTGTTGCTTTCCAAGAATTTGCTTCCAGTGTACAATTTTTCCTCTAGGGCCAAATTGTCAAATTCTTTTCTTTAATCCAGTGTATTTGCAAGTGCATCTGTTTGCATATGCAAAAGCCCAGATATGCCAATCATGTAATCAGCCCAGTCCTGGACCACTGAAGTCATTTCAATGGGAATGGGATCCAATTCCTAAGTTTCTATTTGCATGTGGGATTTTTGAGCTTGCGGGTGATTTTTTGGGGGGGGGAGGGAAGGCTGAGAAATATGGAAACAGATGTGCTCACAATTACTATAAAGGCCACGTTAACAGAGGGTGATTGAGAATTTGGCTTTCTGTGTTAAAATGCAAACCAAAGAATCAACAACAATTTAAAGCTCCAGCATCTTGTTTGCAGCCAGCACTGTATTTCACTCCAGTGATATTGGGGTATATATTTGCTCTATAGTTGGGTCAGAAGCTCAAGCAAATATTTTTGTTTTTCCAAGAGAAGGGCAGGATTTAAATGTGCTTTTTCGAAGCTGTATCAAAGTCTTAATATTGATTAAGAAAATAGATGCTGGCAGTTTCTTTGTGGTTAATTTTAGCCAGATGTTGAAAAAAATTAAAGCTATGCTTAATATCACATTGTCCGGGCACAGTATGAAAAAGTGAGGAACTAGAGTTCTGGGACCACAGCTTGTAGTTGAAAATGATTGCATGATTACATTACCATGCTTTTATGTTTTGAACTGACCGTGATGATTTAAAAAGTAATAATTTAGCCAGGGGTGAAGTTTTACTTTTTAATCCCCTTACATACAATATGAAACAGATCTTAGATGTGAATAATTAGGATATAGATGCATAGATTTTACATTTTCAGAACACGCATGAAGACAGAATCCACGTTGTGATGTGATCAACACCTACCCTATCATTGTAATGTAACTGTGTAACTTATTACTGAAAATTGTCCATTTATAAGCCTGTGACCAGATGCCTGTGAGCACAATATGTTTTCTTGCTGTTCCTTTTGTACCATTTGTTAGGCGCTCTAGTTTATAGCTGTGCCGACAGCACAGGTTAAACTACATTGAATCTCAAACCCTTCCTGCATTTAAACAGGGTCACAGAAAGTACACTAGCAGCTGAAAGGGGGTTAACTCTTCAAGTTCTGATTTCCTTCGTTCATTAGTAAAGGGAAGGCTGTGTCCCAGTTTTCAATGTTTGGGCCTCCCTTTTTTGGGCCTCCTGTTTAATCGATATAGAAGGCAAGTTTTCATATGCCTTAACATTTAAATCATAGTATTTCTCCTGTGGTTTTGGAAAAGATCATAATACCCAGAAATACATTGAAGTAAGGAAATAGAAAATTTTTTAAGGTGAACTGTTAAAGTCTTTAAGCATTTGCCCTTTTTTCTTCAGAGCCCAAGAAACTTGAAACTCTTTAGAGAACACTATGATCGCTTTTCTAAGAGCCTGACCGTACTGATTGGCAGATTTTGTTATATTCCTCTGTGGAACCTATCTGAATCTTTAAGATGTCACACTTGTCTTCATTTTTAAACTAGGCGTTTTGCATTTGTTGTCTGTGAATTTTGAACACTGTAAGTTGTGATTTAAGCCACTGGAAAGTGCTCTGGCCCTATTGTATGTGTGTCTATGTAACGCTGGATAGCAATACCCCAGCATAACTCCAAATTAAAGTAAAACATATCACCGAAGTTACGGAGACTGCCAGTCACTAGCTACAGCTGCATCTTTTGTGCCACTCTACTTCAGGGTACAGCATCATAACCATTATGACCCACTATGGTACTGGATTTATAGTTCACCATAAAAAACAGCTTTGATTTGAAATGATTCATATAGCAGCTCTGAAATAAACCATGTTTTAAATCAGAGAAGTGGGATGAAAATACTGAGAAGTTAGTGGTTAGGGATTTAGTTAACACACTTCTCGTCCAAACAAATCCACATGTTATAATGAAATTTTTGCAGGACATTAGAGCCGTCACTTGGGATATTTCAAAATGCAAAAATAAAAACTAATGAATCTCTAATGTATTGAACACAGTCGGTGTTGCTACTTCCCATCGGGAATTTTACAGTGCATCCTGTATCAGGATAAGGATTGTATGGCCTGATGTTTAGAGGTGCTTACCACCCACAATGCCAAGAGTTCTGTGGAAGAGGTGAACACTCAGTACTTCTGAATGATAAGCTAGTAACTTTAATGTTCCTTTTGGTTCAGTACAACCTTCATGGAAGTTTCAATCCAGATAGAAACTTTGAGAAAAGACAAAACTTTACAGACGACTTTCCAAAGCAACATGTTTTCTCCACATTTTCCAGCTGTTTAACTGTATCCACACAGTCATCAATCTCAAAGTTGCTACAGAATTGAGCACGTTCACAGTGATGTACAAGTGCTATTTAGAGCATATATTTTTTCTTTAAAATATCTTCTGTAATGACTTAAATTTAAGGACATTTGGAAATAATTAGACCAGACCGTTAACAGAAATGACCACTGCTGATTTTTGTATTGGCTGCTAAAAAGGCATGTTGTTGTTTTAGAACAGGAAAAAATAATTCCTACACCAGACCAACAATGTTGTTGTTGTTAGTTTGTCCACTAATTCAATTTCACTGTTATATGAGCCCCTTGGAGATCCAGGTATGTGAAAGTGAATATTTCACCATGGCTATTTCTAGACTGCAGAGTTTTTCCAGGATACCTCCAGGGAACGTGTCTGCTTTTTCAGAACAGTTTCCGAAAAAGCAGACATGTTCTTTTGGCATGCCTGTATTCCTCTCGGTGAGAGGAATAAGGGATGTTCCAGAAGAGGAGTTTTTAAGCCCCGTGTAGCTAGGCCAAATTTCGGAAAAGCCTCTTCTAAATAAATAAGCGGAAAAAGATACACAAATTGCAATTCACAATTTGCATATCTTTTTCCGATAAAATTCTGCACTATGGACGTAGCCCATCATAGGTTGTTATGGAAATATCTATTGCACCACAGATTTGAGGCAGAAGAGCCAGACATATAACTGGTTTAGCAAGTATTCAGTAAAGGTATGTCTACACATCAAAGTTATTTTGGGATACAAGTCGTATCCCGAAATAACTACCCCCTATCTTCACAAGCCACCCGTTATTTCAAAGTATTTTTTGAAATAACAGACGCACGATTTCGGCATCCTGGTAACCCTCATTTCATGAGGGTTAAGGAATGTCTCAAAATAGCACTTTATTTCGAAATTTGGTGCTGTCTTGACAGCATCAAATTTTGAAATAGCGTATTTTAAAATAAACTCTAAATAAGCTATGCAATTTGTGTAGTGCAAATTGCATATCTTATTTCGTGTTTAGAGTGCAGTGTAGACATAGCCTAAGTGTTCTTGCAGAAGCCCAGAGAGGACTCAAGTTTCAAAATGAAAGTTTTTTATAGTAATTCAAACAATTTTGCTAATCTAGATACACTCCCTCCACTTCCCCATTTGTCACTTTTCTACACCAGCAGCTCACCACAGAATGGTCCCATTTTTAGGATTATTTAAACTAAATTACCATTTGGGCTATTAAAGGAATCACTTGAGTTGATGACAAAATGGCACAGGTGTTGTAACCTTCACTTGATAAATCATTTACTTCAGCTGCCTGACTTGTAAGCAATACAAGGTCTTCAGATTAGCTGCCTTTGCCATATGCAAATCAGAAATGCAGTATGCCTGGGATACATAGTCTACAGTTTCAAAAGCAAGCTGGTCTGGATACCACATGATTAAGTATCAGATACATTTCTTTTGCTGGCATAGTCTTGCAAAAAGAAAAGTGATAGAGGAAATGGAAAGTACCATCACATTAATCAGGGGCTAACCTTCTGGAAGCTACTACATGTGTATAAAACAAATAATGTCTCTCTCTCTTGCTGCAGAAAATAATTCAAGTAAACGCATGAGGTCAGCATAACCAGACTATCTAGTCACACCAAAACCAAACTAGCAGCTTGTTTATTGAGACCAGTATATAAACTTGGGCAAATTATTTTTTAACAAGTGTCAAAGTATAAGGCTGGCTGAAAAAAATATAAGTTATTTTCCATTCTAATTGATTAGGAGCCATATAAATTTAAGTTTTCTACAGCTCCTTGTCCCCAAAACTTTGATTGCCTTGCTAAGTTTCTTCAGCCATCTAAACACACAGCACAGCTCAATAAAGTTGCATTTCTGTTGGCAGATCCAGTTCCTGCACCATGTCACCTCTAGTCCATCTGACCTCCCCTGGCTGAGTGAAGCAGGGCATAGGCCCTGCAGGTAGAACACTAGTAAAGAGCTCTGATACAGCAAACACAGTAGTGTGCCTCACACTCCTAGCAACTTGCCAGAGTTGGTCAAGGAGGGTCAGCTATAGTTTTTGAGAAGACAGAAGGCCAATGCACTGCTTCTTTGCTGGTTTAATAGAAAGAGAAGAGCACCATATTTCCTCTTAAGAAAACTCTTTCAAGAAAGATACCAGTTACATTTAAAATTGCTGCCTGATATCTCCATGCTCTATTTTACATTTGATTCACCTTAGTTAGCTTCCTAATCTTTGTTAACCTAAGAGCAGATACTGACTCAAGAGGAAACCATATCTAGGGCAGAAGGATGCATTGTCCCTGTTTCCTGCACTGCACCATCTAATTCCCAAAGTAGAATCAGACTACAAACATTAACCAAGTTTCTGCTAGATACGTTTCTGCTCTCACTTCTGCTGATATGAATCTAGAGTAACTCCATTAGCTTCCATGAAG